TTTCTTCGATGAGAAAACATTCATTGTCCAACGGTTTGTAAACAAACAAAATTATCGTGTTTACTGGCCAAAGAGGTCAGCAGAAAAGGTGCACCTTCGGTTGGCCACCAGAACTCAAGCGATGGTCGCTCTCCGCTCGTATTAATCGACCATGGCATCAGAATAAATGCCGAATATTATGCAAAAATATCCTGGAGGTTGTATTAAAGCCTTGGGCACGCAAACATTTTGGCCGCAGACCTTGGTCATTCCAACAGCACTCAGCACCATCGCACTCAGCACACGCCACCCAAGAATGGTTAGAAAATGAGGTTCCTCATAGCAACTTTTGGGCAGTGTGTGACGTTTTCATTGGCCGTTTGAAGGCCATAACTCGTTCCAAGGCCATTAAATAGATAAACGAGATATATAAAAATTTGATGAAAATCGGATCAGATTTCAATATACCTCTCGATACCTGGCATACCTGAAATCATAAAATATATGTTCTTTTTCGATTTTTTTTTTATAAATTTCTTGCAGTAAAAAATCTTTTACAATTCCCATTAAAATTGTCTCTATCCAAAGAAAACCACTTCAAAAATTAGCGATTTGTTCTCACTCCAAGTTTTGAAGGGCGTTGCTAACCCCAATAGAACAGCTCAGTGTCTTTTACTGGTGTAGTCAATTGAAATTAGTAGAAAGAACCAGTTCTCATACACCGTACATTCATACACCAGTTATAATTCTCCTGAAGGCAGAGAATCCAAATTTGTTATACAGTTATAGTTTCAAAATCTAATATTGATAGGAATTGAACATAATAATAATCATAAGAATTGAACACCCTGTTTACTGCTCGTCGATGTTAAATATGCTCATACATTATTTACTGCGTTGTAAGCAATCAGTTTGGTAGTTGTCACTGAACTGTTCGAACATGGTTCCTATTTGGATGACAACAAATGCCCTCGAATGTATTTTCAATGGATTGGATAAATTGCAGTGCGCAATTTGTGTTAATTTGTCTCAAAGAGTTGCGAAATAGAACGATTCGAAAATCAGATGAGCATTCATATTAATGTGATTTCCTTCTGGGTTCGTTATGCTGTCAGAACATAAATAGTTTTTTTCTATTGATATTGCATTGACATAGTTAAAGGAAAACAACGTATGATGTAATCAACATGTTAGCTTTATTACATACAAATATTATAAAAAAAAAAACAAGTAAAAAAGCTATAAGTTCGGTCGGGCCGAACTTTGAATTCCTTCCACCATTTGCAACGAATTTGGCAATTCTCAAAAACAATTAAATCTGTTGAAAATTCTGTGGACCTGCACAGATAATTTTCTGTCTTAGGCTATAGTATACATTACGAACCTCAAATGCCAAATTTGAAACAATTCCGGTGAACAATGTCGCTAAAATTGTAAATTGGGAGGTACCATTATATGGGGGCTATGCGAAGACGTCGACCTGCACAGACAAACTCCTGTCATAGGCTGTAGCATCCATTGCGAACATCAAATACAGAACTTGAAATAATTCCTGTAAATAATGTCGCTAAAATCATCAAAATCCCGAATATCGAGGGTACCGTCATATGGGGGCTATACGAAGCCGTGGACCTGCACAGACAATCTCCGGTTATAGGATGTAGCATCTATTGCGAACATCAAATACCAAATTTGAAACAATTCCGGTGAATAATGAGATACCGTTATATGGTGGCTATACGAAGACGTGGACCTGCACAGACAATTTTTCGTCTTAGGCTGTAGTATCCACGACAAACTTTAAATACCAAATTTGAAACGATTCCGGTACATAATGTCGCTAAAATCATCAAAATACCGAATATGGGGAGGTACCATTATATGGGGGCTATGAGAAGACGTTGACCTGCACAGACAATTTTCTGTTTTCAACTTTTTTTCAATTCTTCCAAAAACAGCGTGATTACAACAGACGGATGGACAGACAGACGGACATCGCTAGATCGTTTTAGAATTTTACGTTGATCCAGAACATATCTACTTTGTAGGGTCTATTATGAATATTTCGAGGAGTTACGAACGGAATGACAAAGCTAATATACCCTCCATAGAATGGTGGAGGGTATAAAAAATATATATTGTGACAATAGCTATCCCGGACCGAGTTTCACCAAATGGTAAAATTCGGTTGGATATGAAAAACCTATTCAATTTAGGCTGATATTACATATATGGCGAACCAAAATCGTAAGATCGAATGAGATGGTATATCGAAGATGTATAAAATCTGTACCGCTCTGGATGGTATTTGGCAGAGATATTTTCGAACAATATCTGAGGTCCGGAATCAAATATCATTGTTGTGGAGTCCATATTACGCATGTCAGGGATTAAAAATTCCAAATCGGATGAGATATATTTATGGGGCTATATCTATATTTGAACCGATTTTCACCAAGTTTGATGTACTGCTTCTAGATTGAATTGGGTCGGAAGTGCAAAAATTCAGGTAATTTGTACTGATATTGGTTCACAATTAACCCAAAATCGGTCGAAGATATATATGGGAGCTATATCTTCATTTGAACCGTTTCTCACCAATTGTAGTAGGGTTCGTCCTTGAGCCAAACATTTTATCTCAATCGGATAATAAATGCGACCTTCGTTTTTCCACAAAACTACATGAATAGACGGACGGACTGACTTGCATAAATAGACTCAGAAAGTGATTCTATGAGATCCTCATGAGAAACTATGGGTCTATATATGGGTCACTTCCTTTCCCTTTTTTACAAACAAATGAGCAATGACATAATACCCTTACCACTATATGGTGTAAGGTATAAAAAATTGTATTTATTACACTACACTAATACCGTTTTTATCCTTGCAAAAGCAAACAGTAATTTAAACAAAATTTCAGAACAACTCACTTGATAATCCCTCGCATAGGTAACGTAGATTAAACTTAACCCAATTTAGATATGTTTAACTTTTCTGTATACACTCATTTTTTTTCTGTATACACACATTATTCAAATTAGCTCCAATCTAAATATAACATTCATTTAAAATTTCCGTATAGGTGATGTGTGTGTGTATGTGTGTGTACTAAAATGAACAATGTCCTTTATTTGTAATAATTAGTTGCAAGGCTAAATCTAGGCAAATGAATTATTTAAATACAGGGTTAAACGTTAAATACGCAAACAATGAGCGCCAGTGTACATTGTGCGGTAACATTGAACACGCATTTATTGCCACGGGTGCACAAGTCCTTTTTGCATAAAGGCAAATATTTAAGTCGATATATATGTTCGTATGTGAGTACATTAAACAAAGAAATGACATAGAGACTGGCAAAAAAATAGTTTGAAAAAAATTTCAAATGTTAGTCGTGATGGAATTCAAGCGTGATAGTGTCATTTCTTTATATTTGGCTTAAAACCCACAAGTGGCTATCGTTAGAGCACTCCTGCATTTAAATGTGAATAAATCGTTTGTGTCTCGTACCATCGTTTGTTACCGTGATACTGACAAACATAACAAATCGGATGAACAATATATATGGGAGCTATAGCTATATCTGAACCGATCTTCATCAAATTTGACATATTAGTTTCTAGACTCAATTCGGTCGTATGTGCCATTTGGAAAAATATTAGACGTTTGGTGCACAATAAAAGGTAAATCGGACGAAGTTATATATCTGAACTATATCCAAATCTGAACCGATCTCTCAGCCGTATTTGATATATTTCCCCAAATATTGTTGTTACTTATTGTTGTTATTACGGCTGCGGAGGACAAAAATAACAAATCGGATGAACAATATATATGGGAGCGATTTCGGTCAAATTAGGCATACTTATTTTCAAGCCTAATTTGGTTGCATGTGCAAAATTCCATACAATTCGGGATGATATTACACGTTTGGTGCACAATAAAAGGCAAATCGGACGACGCTATATTTGGGAGCTATATCTAAATTTTGACCGATTATCTCCAATTTCAATAGAGTTCGTCCTTGGGCCAATGATTTGTGCCAAATTTCATCTGGATCGGGCTAAAAATGCGAACTGTACTTTGTTTACAAAAATACATGGACACACAGACAGGCGGACGGATTTGCATAAATCAGAATGTGATTCTATGCAGATCATCAAAAGGAATATGGGTCTACCTCGTTTTCTTTTGCCTGTTACAAACAAATGCACAAAGACATAATACCCTGACCATCTTGTGGTATAGGTTACAACTATTATAGGTATTGTCAATTGATTTTCCAATTATTTTTTGAGTATATTTTTTTATGAAATCATGACAAGAAATTGTTTTTTCCAAGGATAACGATTTCTTTAAATCCACAATAAGACCTCTCATAAAAAAAAAAATCTCCTAAACTTGGCATGTTTTCTAATGTTCATATATTAAAGAAAATATTCCAAAATCTTTCAGCAAATGGGCCCATAAAAATAACTTTAAAGTTAATCCACACGTACATTATCATCCAAACTTTTACTCATTTTGAAAAAAGAAAAACGCAACAACAAAAACAAAACATTGGAATTACTTCCGCTGGCATTAAAACGATGTGACTTCCTACAGTCACACATAGCTTTAAGCGGATTCACCCATCATTTCCTCTACAGCACGTGCTGTCATAATGATGTACTGTTACCAACTACCAACATGTGTTCTCCCAAAACCATTATCCTTTCAAGCCCACAGATAGCGAGAGTCAGAGCAGTCCTTTACCATTTGTGGTTCGTGGTAAGGCGTTGACATGCGCATGCTCAACAAATGTTGTGGATGTTATGGTGGATGTTGCGGGAGTGTGAATCGAATCGGAAACAATTTTCTCTGGTGTTGTGTGGAAATTATTGTCATGGCACTTTGGCGGTTCAAGCAATGAAAGTCCAACGAAAGCAAAATTTCGAATAAGTATCTGGATGCTAATGGCCTGCAAAGACGGTTTATGGCAAACAGTGTTCAAACGCCAATGCAAAGGATACGACGTGTTCACGGACGACGACGTAGAATAGCGCGTATCGGAATGAAGTGAAAAACTTGTAACGTTTCAGCGGATGAAAAACGAAAGAAAAACATGAATGTTTAACGAAAGTGAAAAGTGTAAGGAATATCTATAAAGAGTGGCAAAATGCTATAAAAATTAGAGAGAAAAAAAATTAAAACAAAATGAAATGCTCCTAGAATTGAAAATTCATGGAAAAATCCTTAAAAAATGTCAAAACAAATAAATAACAGTAATAAGATTAAATAAAAATTTAGGCCTTCGGAAAGGACCCCCAAAAAAAGAAAAAAAAAAAGAATGTGTGTGTGTGCGTGTTAGTGTCCTGTGTTTTTTGGGTATCATTGCGATTTGTACCTTGTATAAGTTCATGTTAATGTTTACATACTGAACTGCCAGCCCGCCAGTCAGTCGCGTGTACCTTGAATAAGTGTTTGTGTAGCTCATAAGGTATGCCGCTGCAGGCAATGCTGCTGCCACTTGCTGTCCATGGATATAGCCTTCATTAGATAAAGCTTCGCTGAATATCCAAGGTCATTATAGTTCCCTTCTGGTGTAATATTCTGTGTATTATTTATGAATGTAGTTTTGAGTACTTTTTTTGCCGTTTTTGTTGTTGTTGTTTTGTTTTACTCTTCTGTTTGTTTTTTGTTTAGCTTTCTTTTCATAATGTGATTGTAGTGCGGGAGGGAATGGCGAAATACAGTGTTTTGAAATGTGAATTGTGGTTTCCTGTGGCAGTGAAAAAATGTGCAAAATATGTGAATGACTGCAAAATATAATTTAAGCCATAAACAAGCGAGCAAAGGCTATAGCCGTGCGTGGCCGACCATGTGATACTCTACAACTCTACAATATGTTCGAAGTCCCCTTGTATCCAAATCCATTTTGGAAGATTTCGTTTTTGAAATAATGTCAAATAGCACCGCTCGGAGGTTACCCTTAGTTTTTTGAAACGGAGAATTTGGCCAATATTTACACACTTCGTAGTGTTGTTAAGTATTCAAAACAATTTCACACGAAAGTTGTGGTCCATTTTACAGCTAAATATAATCCAATGGTCATCCGAAATGCTAGACTTCTTCCTTGTCCTTAACTCTTTTCTGATGGGAAATTGTGTCGATTAATTTTCAATTGTGGCCTATAGAGCCACTACAAAATTAGAAAAAATTAATTTTTTTAGTCTATTTGCCCCTCTACATTTAGATCTTAAGAACAATAGGCTTTAATTCTGACCCTAACCCTACCCCCATACAAAATTTCGTGAGGATCGGACGATAATTGCGATATGCATACAATACCCCCAAAACGTAGTGTTGGGGTGTGTACAAATTTAGAAAATGTACAATTCAAAATTGTAAATTAAAAAAATCGCATGCGACAAAATATATGACATAAAATGAAAAAAATCGACAAAAAATATTCACTTTTTTATTGGCATATTTTTCCCGCGATTTTCGTAGATTTTATCGTTTTCTGGCAAGAGACCATTCCGAATTGATGGGAATTGTGAAAATTCTTGATGTAAAAGCAGAATAAATGAGATAATTTCTTTTACATATATATTGTACTTATTTTGCTATATATCCGATTTCTTGGCTATTAGCATCACTGTAATGACCGGAAATTATCTTTTAATGTATTTGTGATATTGCTGGGGTTGAAAGTATTCGCGGTTTAGTGGACATTTTCCTATTTTCTTACATAAAAGTTAGGATCTATTTTACCCGCTATTTATTGTCCGATGGCCGCCCAAATTAGTAGGTTTCTGCCCACTCCTACACTCTAACTCCATGTACATTTTCGCGTTGATTGGTTCATAATTGTGGCCTATAGAGCAACTGCAAATCAGAAAAATTTTCTTTTTTTTTTTTTTGGTTCATTTCAACCCCTAAATATAAATTATGTGAAGATCGGGCCAAAATTGCGACGTGTAGCTTGATTACAAATTAACATGGACAGACGGACGGACGGACATACATACATAGCTAAATCGACTCATCTCGACGAGATAGAAAGATCCATATATACTTTCCTATGTGGAAAACCAATATTTCGAGGTGTTACGTAATTTTTAGCCCAATCAAACTTATAATACCCCCAACAAATAGTGTTGTAGAGTACAATTAATACTTTTTATACCTTACACCATAAAGTGGTCAGGGTATTATGTCTTTGTGCATTTTTTTGTAACAAGCAAAAGGAAACAAGATAGACCCGTAGTTCCTTTTGATGATCTGCATAGAATCACTTTCTGAGTCGATTTATGCATGTCATGTATTTTTGTGAACAAAATGCAGGTCGCATTTATTATCCGATTGCGATGAAATTCTCCAAACAACATTTGTTTGGCCCAAGGACGAATCCTATTGAAATTGGAGATAATCGGTAAAAATTTAGATATATCTCCCATATATATCTTCGTCCGATTTGCCTTTTATTGTGCACCAAACGTGTAAATATGGAATTTTGCACATACAACCAAATTATGCCTGAAAATAAGTTCAGATATAGCTATAGCTCCCATATATATTGTTCATCCGATTTGTTATTTTTGTCCTCCGCAGTCGTAATATGCACTCTATAACAACAATATTTGGGGAAATATATTAAATACAGCTCAGAAATAAATTTGCTAAATTTTATCGAGATCGGTTCCGATTTGGATATAGCTCCCATATATAACATCGTCCGATTTACCTTTTATTGTGCACCAAACGTCTAATATTTGCCCAAATGAGATGGAATTTGGAATTGAGTCTAGAAGCTAGTATGCCAAATTTGGTGAAGATCGGTTCAGATATAGCTATAGCTCCCATATATATTGTTCATCCGATTTGTTGTATTTGTTACCCATAGCCGTAATATGCACTCCGTAACAACGATATTCAGGAAAATATATTAAATACAGCTCAGAAATATCGTTGCCAAATTTTAACGGTTCAGATTTTGATATAGCTTCCACATATATCTTTATCTGATTTCAAGTTAATTTTGCACTAAATGTGCAACACAAGTCCGAATTTAATAGTTACAAATGCTTCGGCATATTTAGTTGAACTTTAAATTATAATTACAATGTGATTGCATTCTCCCATAAAAACTTTTAATTGTTATGCGGAGCTCAACTAAATCAGCAAAGTGGTGTAGGGTATCATAAAATCGGCCCTGCCCGACTTTAGGACTTTCTTTACTGGTTATAGGTGAAAACTATTAAACTAATTATAACGTGAAAAACTCAAGCCGTTTAAGCCATTTAAGAAAAATAATCCAAATTGTTTCTCAAAATTTATGTCATTCTGAAATGTGTTTGTTCTTCTTCAAACAAAAATCTAGCCTGAAGATAATTAAATTATAGTAAAGATACCCCATAAATTTAAATCTCAAAACCATAGAAAATACTTTAAAAGAGTTTAAGTTCGTCGGGACCGAGCATTTTATGCCATTCAGCACGCAAACACTTAAATTATAGTGAGCAGATGTCTCACAATCCCTAAAATTGTGATCCAGAAAATATATTCGGTAGAAGGACGTTATGTGGGGATTATATTGTGAGGATATTTTCTTCTTGTTATTTCACTTCGGATTGAAAAATTAAAACTATTAAATACGGCCAGTTCCACTTTTAAAGCAGAAAATTACAAAATGGATAATATCAGAAGGTATCGCTTTATGGGCGATGTAGGAAAAATCTGGCCTATACAAACGATTTTTTATATCCTCCACCATAGTAAGCAGGGTATACTAAGTTTGCCATTTCATTTGTAATACCTTGAAATACACATTTAAGACCCCACAGAGTATATATATTCTTGATCATCATAAAATTCGAGCATAAAATTCGAACTAAATGAAGAAAATTGATAAAATTTTAGTCAAATGCATATTATGTCTGCAGGACTTTTAGTATTGAAAATTTATCATGTACTTTCACATTTTGGTATAGCCCCCATATACTGGTACCTCCTTATTTTCGGTTATTTGGTGATTTAAGCAACATTATTCACCGGAAATATTTCAAATTCGGTATTTGAAGTTCGTAATCGATATTACAGCCTAAGACAGAACATTTTCTGTGCAGGTCCACGTCTTCGTATAGCCCTCATATAACGGAACCTCCCGATATTCGGTATTTTGATAATTTTAGCTACATTGTTCACCGGAATTTTTTCCAATTTGGTATTTAAAGTTCGTAATGGATACTACAACCTATGATAGAAAATTGTCTGTGCAGGTCCAAGTCTTGGTATAACCCTCATATTACGTTACCTCCCGATATTCGGTATTTTGATGATTTTAGCGGCATTATTCACCGGAATTGTTTCAAATTTGGTATTTGAAGTTCGTAAAGAATGCTACAGCCTGTGACAGGAAATTGCCTGTGCAGGTCCACGCCTTCGTATAACCCCCATGTAAAGGTTCCTCCCTATATTCGTTATTTTGATGACTTTAGCGACATTGTTCACCGAAATTGTTTCAAATTTGGTATTTGCAGTTCGCAATGGATACTACAGCCTAAGACAGAAAATTGTCTGTGCAGGTCCACGCCTTCGTATAACCCCTATTAAAAGGTACATCCCTATATTCGGTACTTTGATGACTTTAGCTACATAGTTCTCCGAATTTTTTTCAAGTTTCGCATTTAAATATTATGACAAAAGTTACCTATGTCAGGTCCACGTCGTCGTATAGACCCTAAGATTTTAACAGAATTTTTAACGGATTTTATTTTTTTGAAAACTGCCAAATTCGTTGCAAGTCACGGAGGGTAATAATTTTAACAGCTGTCGGACGAATGGCTTAGAAATGACAGCAGTCTGAAATTGGTTGCAGTTTTTTCATATCACCCCGTATACATTATTGGATACATTGCTCGAAGTATGTGTTATTTACAATTGAAAGTGGTACATATCAATCCTCCGCTTGGATTACCCTCCATAAAATAGAATCACCCGCTTTTTAGCGTTTTCTAGAATTTTCACTTCTCTCTCTGAACAAAATATGTCAAAATAGGACCACTTTTTGTATAACACTACGATCTTTCTATCTCGGGTGCATTCGGTCATAATTTTGAACACATTCATTTTCTCAAAAATTCGACTGAAATTAAGACGTGTTACGAACTACAGTACTGTGAAGTGCACTGCGAATCTGTTGTTTGCATTTTAGCTATAGCCTTACAAATGTCATTGAATGCTTTCACCCAAACCACCCAAGGCAACTTCAGTAGCTGGTGCAACTGATGCAGGGCATTATTGTCTTACATACATACCTACATAAATATGTGTAAATGCATTTCTGCTTAGAAAAAGTCGGGGAGAATTATTTTAGCATTGCATGCTTAGATGAGATAATGCAGTCATATAACACAAGCGCCCAACGATAGACGTTGAAGGAGAAGAAGAAATTATAAACTTTTCAATGAATGCAACGACCGACCCAGAAGAAAATAGGAAAACAACGAAGTAATGCACCAAGAGAATAATGATTTTAATTGTACCACCATTCCACACAGATGGGACAAGCGTAAAAG